ACCTTGTATTACTGTATAGTTTAATTGTATACAGTAAACTAATCTTGTAAATAATACCACAAATCAGAAAAATAATTGTCATGAAAAACCAAACAAGTGATTGTAATGGGAACAAAGAGTCAGATTTTTATGTTAACTCAATTTTGTGTTGAGAAAATAAAACTTATAAAGTAAAGGGATCTATAACATTCAACATATCTGTACCAAATTTGACAGGAATATTCTTTGACACCATAAAAAAAAATACTGTGGAATCTCCACCTCCAACCACTTCTAAAGGCTCCAGAGCAATTTTTTGTGTTTTGCAGTATCGTTATTGTAAATATTCAGGTCACTAAATGTACATTTTTGTTACTAAGACCATTATTTTTATCACTTCTCCCAACCCAACCTCACCAATACCCACCCTCTCAATAGCCCAAGCAACACTGGTAACATACAGCTAGTTATATATAGAATCTATATATGCAGTTTGTTTTTGAAAACATACTTTTAATTAATAATTTAGAATACATTTTTAATGACAGGTCAAAAAACGTAATTAATATTTCTGAGTAAAATATTCATTATAACACCTATAAAACAAAAATAATGATAAAATACAGCACAGATTTTCAATTATTCAGAATACAAGAGAAAAATGAACTATTGATAATCCTAATTAGTAGAATTCCTAATTAAAGTGTGCTATATAAAACAAACAAGCTGTTAAAAGCATTGTAGTCAAATTCAATACTGTTCATATTGTAAATTGTGTAAACCAATTAAAACAATTTATTGTAAATTTATCTCTACCTGAAATTATTCACTGATGATTGGATTTAATATTTTTTAAACATATATTTATAATAGTTTGACTTAATATATTAAAAATTTATAATAATTTATTAATGATATCAGTATTTTTAATAAGATGTTACTTGCAGGAAACATTTCTACGCAGGTATAAAACAAAGAAAAACTGAATTGAAAGTTTTTATAGCAACTGTCATCTGATATTCCATATTGCTTTCATAATCATATTTTTTCAAAATGCTAGATAATCACCAATCTATTATAAATTCATATTTAAAAATTGAAATCTCAAGATTAAATAGGCACAAATCCTGGAATTTCAAGACTTAAAACACACATTGAAGTAATACATATATCTCTCTGAAATTTAAATTTATAAAACAGAAATATAAAATTGTGAAATAATTTATATAATCATATAATTCTATTAATTTAATAAAAGATATAATATTTTAATGACATAATTTATAACAACCTTACTTGAGTACGAATTTTTTAAAGTTTGTAATTTATAGTTAAGCAAACTTTCAAAGAATAAAACATCACTGTAAACAGCAAAATAATTGGTGAATGTTCTAGAATTTGATATTTCAGAATTCTTGAAGATGGTCTATAAAGGAAACTAAAAAGTTAAGTGTTTTAAATTATTCCATTGTTTATGGTGATGTTTTTTTCTTTGAAAACTAAATAATAACATAGATAGCATCTATTGCAATCAAACCTTTGATAAACAGATTTTAACCTAATTATAATTAAATTTAACATTAAAATTTTATTGAAATTAACCTTTAAATGTGACCTTAAACATTAATTATATAAAAATAAAACAGATTATATATTTTTTATTCATCATTTTTCAGGTATTGTTTTAAAAAAAATGCTAAAATTTTCTAAAAGAAAAATTTTAACTTCATTAGAAAGAATAGAACAGATTTTGTTTTTATATTTTTCTTACTTTTTTTACTTGTCTTTTTCTATTAAGATATTAAAGATGTTAGAGTTATGTTATCAGCAGAAATAATAAATGATATTAAAGATTCAAAAGCTATCCATTTAGATTAATTAGAGATGAATTTTTTTCTTGTAATTCTCCATTTTTTTTTATAAAAACTAAAGTCAATAACCTCATCATCACTTACCAAAACCAAAGCTCTATGTTAACAGTTTTCAATAAAAATACATGAAATTCTACTTATAAAATAACTGAACTGTGTAATACTGAATACTGAAATTGAGATAAATGAAAAAATAGTCACAAGGATGCAACTAACTTGGCACTGAACTTTTTCAATTGCAACTATACACTTCTACAGAAAAGTTTTAATGTAGTAATTGATAAACAGTATAACTAGTAGTAGCTTTATTTGTCTATAATTTGATTTTATAATTCTATTGGTACTAACAGAAATTCATAACTCCAGAAATATATGCAATTGCTTTTCCAAGCATTTAAGGATAAACAATGTACCAAAAACAAATCTTCAAATAATTATTGCTTTTTTGCTTTTGTCCCATCAATTCCAAACCTGTTTTGCTTATCATATCATATTTTTATCTCATATTATCTTAGAACAGCATGAAATTCCGGAAACAGAACCCATTCTTTGGGGGCACAACATAAAGGCTGGTAGATGGGATGAGGATAATAATCATTGATCCCAGAAGCTTTTATTAAAAGCCAACTAATTATTCATATACATGTATTTATATATAAAAATAGTAAATAATTATATATAAATATGCATCTTTGCTCAAAATTCAATTTTTCCCATCGATGTTTGAACAGTACTCCCCTTGTAAATCTACCTACAAAGAACAGTCAAATAAGGTTATATTAATCCGTTAAACAGCAAGAAAGATTATTATAATGGTATTACTAAAATGTTTTGATTTTCTTACTATTAATATACTGTAAATACATCATGAAATATTAATAAAAATTGATGTAATTATTTTTTTTAAAACTAATACAGTTAAAATCTCATTTTTACATCTTTCTTTCATTTTCTTATTTTTTTCATTTTAAATTAATTTTTACAAATTTTCTATTCAATATTTTTGTAGTAATTATTTGGCTAGGTTTTTTTAAGTTAAGAACAGTTGAATAGAATTTCTGCCAACACTTGTCAAACGCTAAAAATAGTGAACTGTCACAAAAGAATTTAACAAACACATTTTCTTTTTCTATTCAACAGAACAATTAAAATTTTAATTTTCTGAGAAATAAATTTAATTTCTTAAAAGTTTTTGTTTTCCATGCTTGTCAAAATAAATACAATTCTTTATTTCTGTACTGAGTAGCCTATTCACCAATTATTTGAATATGTTAAATACTCTTATCAAAATTCATATTTATAGATCAAATAAGTGTACTATAGAATTGAAATCAAAATCTGTTCATATTGTTATAAACCTAATATTATACAGTGTAAAATATAAAAACTTTAAACAATTAAAAATAACACATCCTTAGAAACACACAAATAAGCATGTCCAACTGTTGTAGTCAACAATATACTTATTCAGATCTTGACTATATGTTTGTCTCATCTATTTTTTGAAGTAAATATCTACAAGCTTAACTGGTCATTAAGGCCTTAGGTTGGATATGATAATTTATTTATCAATCTCATAGGAAAAGCAACAGTCCTATTCAGTGCTGGCCTGAGGCAAGTTTTAGGATGGAGTGAGATCTTATTATGGCGCCCCCCCTTGGTTGCCCCTAATTTATACCCTTTAATTTTCTTTACCACTGAGGCGCCCCCTAGGACTTAGTGCCTGGAGCGGCTGCTCCGTTCGCCCTATGGTAGGGCCTGCTCTGGTCCTATTATATCCTTTACACAAGTTTTTTTTATTGGTCAAGTATCTTTAATTCATTAAATGCTTTTAAGATTATTTAGATTTCATCTCAGAATTTCAAAATGTCAGTTAATGGAATCACTGGATTCTAGTTTTAATTTTTAACTAGCTTCCAATGGTTTGAAGATTAACTGAAATTTTAAGATTCTCAGGGTAAGGACTAAAAACTCTGAAAGTACTTTATGAACTGAAGATTTTTTAACATTATTTGATCTAAAGATTCCTGAGTTTAGAAAAAGGTGTATATTTTTTATTTTGTAATAGTACTGTTCTGAACTGTATAAGAACTTCTTTCATATTAAACTTAAAATTATTATTTTGTTTATAATTAATTTTAAATAATCTATCTTTTATGAGAAACTAATATATTATATTTTAATGAAAGATGAATATGTTTATCATTAAAATTTTATTTTACTCTCATTATCAACTATAAAATATTTCAAATTTAAAAAAATATGGAAAAATAATAGTTTAACTTTAAGTATAATATTAATAAAGGAAAAGAAATAGTTTATCATCATAAGATTTTTTAATTATTTTTATTTTAAATAAGTTTTATTTCTAAATCAATTAATACTCTAAACTACTCAGGGATTAATTAAGAAAATCAAATATTTTTACTGGAAAATGAATTATTCATGTTATTTATTTATTTTGAACATTTAATTTTAAAATTTCTTTTGTTATAATATTATACTATCTAAATATCAGGAAAAGCTTTGAGAGAAAAAGAATGAAATTCTAAAAATAAAAGTCCATTATATAAATGAATGATTTATGATAAAAATGGGAGGGAAATTTATCTAAATGTTTATATTAGTTTATTCAAAATAAAAAAAAGAAGAAAGAAAAAACAAATAACTTTATGGATTTGGTTTAATTCAAAATAAATGACTACTTTACTCAATAAAAATTGTATGGTTTAGTACTTGATTGCTTCTTGTTCTCTTTTGTTCTGTGGGAATAAGTACAAAATTGCTATGTAGAACTTATCACACAGAACACTACAGAGATAGTGTTCCTCTGTGATAAGGTATCAATTTTATGCTTACTCCCAAATAAAATTGCATGGAATAATCAATGCAATATTTCCATCTATTTACAAGATAAAATGACTAAATAATTTTATGAAAACTTTCTTTATAGTAAATTTTATAGCTTTACATATAATACATTTTAACAAATATCTTAATAATAAAGAAAAATTAGAAAATTAAAATTAACTTTACAATTTAGAAGCTATTCATCCATTTTCAAAATAGTTTACAAAATTAAAATAATTTTAAATCATTATTTATATTATTAACTACATTAAAAGAATGACAATCAAATTGGAAACTTACTTTCAATTCTCTTAATAATACTTCTGGTCGTTTAGAATTTAATAATTTTTGTGATTTGAAGATTGTTTTCTGAATAAAAAAAATAAAATAAAATGTTTATTGTATTTTAAAGATTTATAGTTCAAAAACTAAAACAAAAATTTGTTTTACCTTCCATATTAGAGATTGTAACCATTGGTCCCTAGAATATGCATTGCTAACCTGAAAAATAAATAATATAATTACATAAACTTAATTTCTCAATGACGATATATTTTAATTTATGTAACTGAGAAAAATCCAATTAATATAATGTAATAAAAATAAAAATAGTGCTTTAATAGACTCTAAAATTTTAAAAGTACAGTATACCGCACTTTTTTTCCTGGTCTTATTTTAAATTACTAATTGCCATTGAATTTCTTTTTTTTCAAGGAAATACGGTATTTTCTTCCTACTATTGTCCTTGAAATTACCATTGCAGGTGAAATTCGTCAAGATAATTGATCTGTCCACCTGTTTTGCTTATTATTTATATTTCCTTTTCATATTAAATGTTATTTATTTATTTGTTTTAAGTACTGTCTCCTTTACAAGTTTCTGTGAATTATAAATTTCGCGCCTTTATGTGAATTGATGGTATTGGGTCAATTCACATAAAGGTGTGAATTTTCGAATTTATCACTTAATAAGGAAAAAAATTTCTTTATTTTCCAACTGAATGTTATAAAAATTTTTATACAGTAGTAACTTTATTTTGCTTTTTATAAAATTTTTACTCTGTTATTTTATGTTTTAATGCTCTGTTATATGTTCAATACTTATTTTTTTTTAATTTTCTGTATTTATAATTTTTATTGAAAAATATAAATTACACGAATTTTTAATAAGCGATTTATTATGAAATATAGTACTGTATAATAAAATCGCAACTGATATTTTGTTTTTATACAGATAGTATTTGTTTTTAAATGTCGTTGTTAAAGAAACAATAATGCTAAATGGACGTTCCTGGTATATATGTTTACATAACGAATAAAATTCAGTATTAAAAAACTAAGCTTATTTTATATCAGAAACATTTGCTAATGGAGATACAGATTCCATAGCATGTATAATCTGTTTAATATAAGCCCAGAATTTTTAGTACTCGGTTATATCACACTTTTCTTTTTCTCATGACAAGCGCGATATAACGAGTGGCTACTGTACCTGTACACCAGAAAAATATTTGGAGCAATTTTTCTATATACTGAAGGTTTTGGTTTATTAACATAATCATTTTATATTCTAAAATGATAGTGAACATGCATAAATACATATATTTTGGTAAAAATAATAATGAAATTAGTTAATAGATTCTATTTATTAAGAAATTGTATGTCATTAACTAAATTAAAAAATAAATTTTTTATCTTTGCTCTTTTCATCATATCATTTTTTGCAATGTATTTATTCATAAAATATATATTTTATTCTAAACACATTGTCACANCGCCATAATAGGATCTCGCTCCATTCTAAAAGTTGCCTCGGGCCGGCACTGTCTCAATTACAGGGAGAATGAACGTGCAAAGCAGGGCTGTCTGATTTTTGTAAACATGTGATAGCATGTTTATTACACGTTAACAGGTGAGAAGTGTTTAAATATTTTAAGCAGTATACACCATGTTCCAATATAAAAACATAGTTTTATCATAATAGTTAAAATTAGTGCCAATCTGAAGGCTACCCTACTGAGTCATTCTGCACTTATACAACATAGGCCAGTCAAAAGTTTGTAGCACACATTACATTCTCTCTCTGTCTGTGTGTGTCATATCTGTAGTCTTTTGAAAGTGCTAGTTTATGGTGTACAAGTAGGGTTGCTATGTTGTTACCAGTCAAAATCTAACATTTATTAAACAGATAAAGCAATAATAAGTAAATAATGATACATGAGACGTACACGCACACACACAGAACATAATGTGTGCTACAAACTTTTGACTGGCCTATGTTGTATAAGTGCAGAGTGACTCAGCAGGGCAGCCTTCAGATTGGCACTAATTTTAACTATTATGATAAATAAAACTATGTTTTTATATTGGAACATGGTGTATACTGCTTAAAATATTTAAACACTTCTCACCTGTTAATGTGTAATAAACATGCTATCACATGTTTACAAAAATCAGACAGCCCTGCTTTGCACGTGCACTCTCTCTGTAATTGAGATGTATTAAAATGGCAATATCTGAGATTGCAACACTAAAGCAACAACATGAACTTCAGTGTTGTTGTTAGAGTTTAATCCAGAAAATATGATGTGTCCAGCATCCAAAACGGCTTCACCTTCTACAAAATAACATTTTCTGTTGCCAATATAGTTTAGAATTTGACATAAATTCAGTGATTTTTTTTCTCTATTTGGTCCTCGCAGTAGTCGTCATTGACGAAAACTGAATTGGTTCAAGCACTGAACAAACACGTGGTCGGTTCCTTACCTGTTTCAGCAGCCATCTTGGTTCAGAAACAGCTCCCTCTGTTGGATCTGGTGCTTGCCAATAGCACCTCAAAAGTTCTCATATCCCACATTCAACTTTATGTTAAAACGCTCAGTATTAGGATCCATAGCCTCAAGTTCCAACATAGCCGCATTAATTTTGGAGAACACACCAGCTAACCCATGTACCATGAATTTCGTTTTTACTTCTTCAGTTCTTTCATCTTCTTACAAATACTGCATCACTTCTAACTATTAAATCTTCATTTGTTAGCTCTTCATCGGCATAATCCACTAATTCAGAAATGTCTTCCACTTCAACATCTAAATTAAGCGCACTGACAAGGCCCGCAATTTTTAAAATTACACCAAACTGACTAAAAAATCCATAGCAAGCCTATACTACACTCAGTGAGCATGTCACCAATTGCCACTGATCGACACTCAAGCTGAGAAAGGGGATTTCCCAAATTGCAGGTTGAAACTCAATTGGTCGTAAGTGCGAGTGGTCGTTAAGCAGATAGGTCGTAAAGTGAGGAGTACCTGTATTTGTATCTCCTTTATTATTCTACTAAATTATACATTAAACTACAAACATCTAGATTTTTTGCAATCCTAAAATACACTGTTTCATTATAGTCCTCTTTAGTAATGTTATATTGGCCAAACAAAACATTTGCCTAACTTACACAAAACACTAACATGTCTGAAATGTGTACACATGTAGGTATGGTTATCTTCTGTATAACAGTTACTGCACTTTTTGCAACCTATCTACGCTATATGAAACAAAAGACTACTACAAAACTTATAGTTAGGTTCCAAAAGTTAGAAAAAGTATTTTATTCTTTTTCATAAAAAAAATACTTGAAGCAATTAATAACTAACAATCGCAATCAAAAGTGTTGCATATTAATATTAATTTTTCTTCACTGCTAAACACCATTAAATGAGGATGTTTTCTTTTTGGCAAAATATCATTAGAGTTTTATTGTTGACCTTAAATCAAGATATTACTAATAATTGAGATTTTCTCTTTTTCATAAAATCTGATATTTCCATTTGCATGTGTTTGCTATCTTTAAAAATTTAATCATTTTAGTAACTTTGAATTTAATATATAAAATAAAGTACAGAGACAGTCTTTTAGAGCACTGTCACCAACAGTAACAATATTTGGTTTATAAGAAAAAACTTAAATAGGAATTTAGGATAAGAAAGAAGAAAAATTGTATAATCAGTTCTCATTAAAAGAAAACTGAGTGAAAGGCACAAAACATTGAAAATTTCAGTATTCCAAAATCTATAGGCAAATATGAGACCACATGCATGCTTGTTTGAGTATCAAACTTAATTACAGTATTTCCATTCTTAAGCTATACTATTACACCAATATTTAATTACATTAACTTTTCATAAATAATCTTAAGAACAGAAGAATTGTGCTATAAGTGATTCCTTCCTCATATGTTAAATTATCATCAGCACTTAATTTTTTTCTTACATGTTTCTTTTCAAAATTCATCATCCTTATAAATTCGTGTTTGTGCTTGGTGTAACAATAAAAATTTCTTTAATTTTCCCACAAATATTACCTGGAAGTTTGTAATTCTTTGGCAAATTCTTATATTACTTGTTCCTTTTTAGAATAATGTATGTAGATTTTAACAACAACAACAACCTATTAGATCAAGCTTTCCTGTCCTAATATTGTTTAATAAGCATAATAATAAGTCTGTAGACTAAAGTAACACATTCAATAATGAGGAAAAATGAATTAACTTAGAGAAACAGCTTTATTTTCCAGTATGCATTTTAAGTCTCCTCCCCTACTTTTCCAATTATCCCTAGATTACAAGTACAAAAGTTTCAACTTATGTTTGTACTCCCACATATAACCAAAACAACTCAATTATCCTATCTGTCTTAAAATAAAGGAAGTTTGTATTGACCAAGTACAATCTTTCATTGTTTCAATTACAATTAGATATAACTAAATATAATTAGAACGCTATAACTAGATACATAGAAACAAATATAGAACTTAAAATAAAATTTTTGCTTAGGTCAATTCTCCCCATTGGATATTTTAAGTTATAATGGCAATTTGATAAGATCATATTTCAGAAAGAAAATAAATCAAAGCACAATATATATGATAAGCTCTTTATTTAACTTAACCCCTTCAGAAATTTTACAAATACCAATGATTAAAATGAAATTATACCAACTGTTTAGTCTCTAATTTTAATATTCTAAAAGTTTTAAATTATTAAAAAGATGCAGATCTGTTTACATAACAAATTAAACTAGAAAGCTTGAAAAATTTTAATAAAAATTAACCTATGATTTTAGTTTAAAATGCACATTTTAAACATGCCAACACAATTTCAAAATTACCTAATTTAAATAAATTCCTAACATTAAATATTTCAAAATGATATCCTCACCAACAATCTCTATTCACTTTTCCAAGACAGTATGCTGCTCCATCTGAAATTTTAATAATTAAAATTAAAATCAATCTTTCTTCAAAGTAATATTACAATACAGTAGAGCATCGTTTATCTGAATCGATTGGGGACTGGGGTTGTTCGGATAACCGATTATGTACGAAAAAAAAATATTAGCCTATCCCACGTTGAAATTTTTCTCCATTGCATGTTGCTTCACGTTGAATTTTCGTCAATGTTAAGCCTAATGTAAACTTTTTAAAATAATAATCGTGGCTATTGTA